CTGCTGGCACTGCAGGTGACAGCTGATCTCAGTGTGCCACACCAGCCCTATACTGCTGATCTTAGTACTGTCTTGCCAGTGAAACTAACTGGGATCCAACAAATCCATCTCCACAAAAGCTCAGCTTTGAGTAGGGAGCTGACCAGAAGGAAGATCCATAAAAATTCAGCACCAAGGCTAAGAAACTGTACTTCCATTGCTTTCTCCCATGTCACCACCGGAACAGGAAGAAACGGGAGGGAGTGGCTCATTTAGCTCCCCAGCCTCTGTCCAGCCGAGCTCAGTAGCCACTCCAGGGACACCCTTCTGCTTCAAATCCGTTGTAATCTGCCTTCCTTGAATACGGGGGTCTTAGTTTTCCTACTCTAATAAACCAAGCATTTAGATTAAGAGAAAAAAGGGTTAAACCAGCCTATTTCAGCGACAAAGGAACTGAGAAAATTACAACACTGGAAAGCCAAGTCTTGCCAAGCCTGTCCCGTTCATCAGTCAATGTATGTCTCTTGAGGTCCTGGGACCATTCTGGAAAAACCAGCCGTGGCATGCTGGAAATCAGCATCAGGCAGGAGGCACTACCGAAGGTAACAAGCACGGGGTACCTGGTGGATCGGGCTTGGCCGGACCTATTTCAGGGGAAGAGAGGCTGAGAGAAATGGTGAGGGCTCCAGGCTGGCCAGGCAGCAGCACATGGCGGCACATCTGTCACTGGTGCCATGTTACAAAGCTGCTAATGCTGCTGAGCTCAGCCTGTGCCTCACCCACCCCCTGTACACAGCACCACAGTGGCCTTCCTCAAGAGCATTGTGCCAGCTCTAGAGAGAATTTGGCAAGGGTTAAGAATGCTATAACCCTCCAGCCTTTTAGAGAACACATTTATGTTGGTAAATGCTGTGCATACTTTTAAAAAGCCATTTGTCTTACTGAACACATTGTACATTCTTCCAGCTATTAAATATCCCTCTGAAATGTGATGTGAAGTGGCTAAACAGTATTTTATTACATAAACTCATATCATTAAATGCACCTTCTGTTAGGCAATGTTGTTCCAAACTTCAGGAACAGGAATTACCAGGTCAGAGGATCATCTCAGGGTGGGGGCAGGTATTGTGGTGCGGTGTGGAAGGTTCTGCTTGGTATGCACACATCCCGTATCCTATACAGCTGCTGATCCATCTCCCTGCAAGTACATCCAGGGAGCCAGGGGAGAACGGCCCAAGTGCCTGGTCCCTGCTAGCCCTGTGGAGACCTGGATTGAGTTCTGGGCTCCTGGCTTTAGCCTGTTCCAGCTATGGTAGGCATTTGGGGAGTGAACACAGATGATAGAAGATCTTTCTCTCCCTTTCAAGTAGGTGAAAATAAAGACATTAGGAAAAAAACAATCAGGGGTGGGCATTGGGTCAAGATACTGCATCCCACAGTGGAATGCCTGGGCTCAGTTTCCAGTTCTGCTCCTGAATTCAGCTGCCTGCTAACACAGACCCTGGGAAGCAGTGTCTAGTAACTGGGTTCCTGCCACTCACAGGAGAGACTTGGATTAAGTTTTTGGCTCCTGGCTCTGGCCTTGGCCCAAATGAGGCCATCGTGGCCTATGGCGAGTGAAACAGTAGATGGGAACTTCCTCAAATAAAGGCCTGGTGTTGTGGGTAAAGCCGTTCTTTTGACACCAGCATCCCATGTTATCTCTGGTTTCTGTTTTTGTCCCAGATGCAGCAGGTGGAAGCTCTCTCCCCCCCTAACTTTGCCTTCCAAATAAATAAAAATAAATCTTAAGAAACTCAAAAAGATTTATTTATTTGAAAGGCAGAGCAATAAAGAGAGGGAGAGACAAAAATCTTCTATCTGCTGGTTCACTTCTCAAATGGTCACAACAGCCAGAGCTGGGCCAGGCCGAAGCCACGAGCCAGGAACTGCACCCAGGTCTCCCACCTGCCACTCCCAGGTGGCAGTAGCCCAAGTACTTGGGCCATCTTCTGCTGCCTTCTCGGGTGCACTAACAGGATGCTGGATCGGAAGCAGAGCAGCTGGGAATCAAAATCACACTCTGATATGGGATACCAGGTCTTAGAACAAACATTCTTACACAAAAAAGTCTGGACTGCTTCTGTTACTACCTTAGGGTCAATTTCTACAAGGGGAAATTCACTGGGTCAAATGACACATCTGAAAACAATCAGGATAACCACGACTTATCATCATAGCAAACCATTTGTGAAAGGAAAGGAGGTATACGCAAGACTGCTCTGGCCGTAGCAAGACGCCCGTGGACACCGTATGCTGGCCGGGGGGTCACACCAGCCTCCACTCCTAGGAGCAGAGGACTTAGTGCCAACCCCCGGCCCCAGCAACCTGGCTTTCCTTTCCCAGGTGATAGTGCATATTTACTCTTGCATGATTTTCTTCCTTTGGTATGAAACAGTAAAAGGCTCTTTTTTATTTTATTATTTTTTTTATTTTTTGACAGGCAGAGTGGACAGTGAGAGAGACAGAGAGAAAGGTCTTCCTTTGCTGTTGGTTCACCCTCCAATGGCTGCCGCGGCCAGGGCACCGTGCTGATCCGATGGCAGGAGCCAGGTGCTTATCCTGGTCTCCCATAGGGTGCAGGGTTCAAGCACTTGGGCCATCCTCCACTGCACTCCCGGGCCACAGCAGAGAGCTGGCCTGGAAGAGGGGCAACTGGGACAGAATCCAGCGCCCCGACTGGGACTAGAACCCGGTGTGCCGGCGCCGCAGGAGAATTAGCCTATTGAGCCGTGGCGCTGGCCAAAAGGCTCTTAATAAAGAAAAGCTTCCCCTTTGTTCCCGTTTCAGGCTCTTCCCTGGGTGTGCGTAACCTTTTTCTGTGCTGGGCCCGATGCGATGCTATCGTGTGGTCTCTGTTGTGACTGCTTAACCCTGTCATTGCAGCACAGAAGTACCCACAGGTCACACACACATCCATTAGTGCAGCTGGGCTCCATAAAACTTAATTTACAGTAGACCCTGAGATTTGGATTTCATGTAGTCTTCATGTGTCACAACATGAGAAACGTAAACTACTCTTAGCCTGTGGGCAGTACAAAAACAGGAGGGAAGGAGGGTCACAGTTTGCTGACCTCTGATGGAGAAAATCTGTGGTGGACGATTATAATAAACCCAGGGTAAATGCAGGAAATGTGCATGTCAGTGTAGGGAAACCACTGATTTTTCCTGTATTCCATAATATCTTGCTTACTGTGAAAAGCAGATCACAAGTAGAGTTGCATTATATATATTTCCACCAAATGCACATCATGGAAAATAGAAGGGGAGAACAGAATTTAATTTTACAAACAATTCTGCTTTACCACCCCATTCAACAAGTGCACTCTGACTTCGGGGGTGGGGGCATGGGACAGGAGAGGGACTATCTCCTGACTGGCTCAGTCCCCATTTGCTCCTCCCAGCACCAACACTGCATTCCATGGAGTCCCCAACTTGTCTCTGTGCAACATGGCTCCTAAACACAAGCTGATGCCTTTATCTGATACTTAACTGAAGAACGAGTGATTTGTTCCAATGGCAAGGATGAACTGTCTCTGCTGGATTCGCCAAATGACAATATGCTGGTTTAGGGTAGGTCACGTTTATTGTTTATTATGGAAAATTTAAAGGATTTTCCCCACTGCTAATTTAAATTATATAACATGTGCCTATGGTGCATATTATTTATTTTTCAAGATTTATTTTTTGAAAGGCGGAGGGGGGAGGGACAGAGATACTCCTTCTGTGGGTCACTCCTCAAACATCCACCACCACAACTGGGGCTGGGCCACATCAAAGCCAGGAGGTGAGAACTCCATCTGGGTCTCTCGCGCGGGTGGCAGGGGACCCAGGCACCTGAGCTATCACGTGGAGTGGTTAAGAAGCCCACATCCTACACTGGAATGTATGGGTTCAGTTCCCAGCGCTGACTTTGATTCTCCTTTCCTATTGTGGGAGACAGAAGTGATGAGGTCTACGTAACTGGTTCCTGCCACCCTCATGGGAGACCCAGACTGAGTTCCTGGCTCCAGGTTTTGGCTCTGCTGTACCACCCAACACCTGCCCCTAACTTCTATTTTAAATTTCAATATCTTCATTTCACTGCCTCTTGCCACAATCAGCATCCCACATCTGAGTGCTAGTTGAATCTCTGGCTGCTCTGCTTCGAACCCAGCTCCCTGCTAATGTGCCTGAGAAAGCAGTGGAAGATGGCCCAAGTGTCTGGGCCCCTGAACCCATGTGGTAGACCCGGATGGAGTTCCAGGATCTTGGCTTTTGTCTGGCTTAGCCCTTGCCGTTGCAGCTATTTGGAAAATGAGCCAGCAAATGGAAGATCTCTTTTCTCTCCCTCTATCTGACACTCTGCCTTTCAAATAAGTAAAAATAAATCTTTTATTTTTTAAAAAATGTTTATTATATTTATTTGAGAGAGAGGGAGAGAGAAGTGATAGAGACCTTCCATCTGCTGGTTCACTCCCCAAATGGCTGCAATGACCAAACCCAGGAGCCAGGAGCTCCATCAGGGTCTCCCAGGTGGGTGCAGGGGTCCAAGCACTTTGGCCATCTTCCACTGTTTTTTCAGGCACATTAGCAGGGAGCTGGATTGGAAGTGGAGCAGCTGGAACATGACGCGGTGCCCATATGGGATACTGGTGTTGCAGGCGGTGGCCTTACCTGCTATGCAACAATGCTCGCCCCTAAAAATTAATCTTTAGAAGATGCAGAAAAAAGTACTTGGCTTGGGTATAGAGAGTCGAGTTGGTAGGGGTACAAAGATTAAAACTTAGGGCTTCATGCATTTCTCAACTCTGTTCCATCAGACAAGTGGAGCATCAGAGAATGTTCTCTCCTGTGAGACAGGCACACAGACCACTACTTAGGGTGGAACAAGGGTACAGTGTAGACACAGCCGGAGGGCTTCACCAGCATGAACAATAGCAAGCACAAATAGGAAAAGAGCCAATTCCAGATGCACTAACCTTCAAAGACAGATACAGATCTTTAATTTAAAACTGAGTGAGTTTATTCATGGAGAAAACATTTACAGAATACCCTTGGGGCTTTTTTGGCCCAACAATTAAAACTGCATTACAAATCAAACAGGGAGCATCTGGAGACCTAAGACACATGGAGAAATCACTGTCCCCTATCCTTGGGTCTGCAAATATTTACTGTTTAGGCAAGAGAAACGGCTGTGACTGATTTTCTTTCTAGAGGAGAAGATTTCCAGTTTCAATGTCTCAATGTATACAGGATTCTTCTGTGACAGCCAGGGCAGATCCAAAAATCCAGGGGCAATGGGGGAGTCAGGGTGAGTCTACTGGCTCGCTGAAGCCCGCAAGGTACCCAATGCAGTGAGGAGAGGGGCACTGCATTTCCCATCGGTGAAAGCTGAGGTACTTAACGACTCCGCAGACACGGAAGCTCACTTCCACCTCCCGCCGCGGTAACGGTGGAGGCCGACAGAGCTGCTGTAGACGATGACACCCCTGTGGTATGGTCGACACGCAGCAGAGCCAACATCGAACAGGACCGGAACATGGCAAACACTTTCTGAGCAAAGCGGTGACCAGTTTCCGCTTGAGGTGTGTTCCAAGGCAACGGTCTGATTCAGGCTAAGTCTCTCCCTGTCTGCTTTTGGCTTGTCTTGGTGACAAGTTCCTAGCAACACAAAACAGCGTGGGCATTCACTGGAAGACGCGCTGTATAAAACAACGGGAGCTGCAGGTCTCAGCTGTCGGGGTTTGGCCTTGCCCGTTTAACTTGGCTGTTGTGATCATCCAGACGGCAGGACCCGCCACTGCTGAGGTCTCTTTTTTTCTCCTCTGTGGGCTCCAAGGGGAAGTCCTCATCGGTGGCCAGGACCTGTCGGACAGTCATGTTAACCCGAGCAGTTTTCAAGTAGTTGGAACACACCTGCCAGTCTTGCACAGAACAGGGCTCCACCACCGAGTCTCTGGGCAGGTCCACTGGGAGAGGCGTCTCCAGGCAGCGAGGCAGGCCTTCCCCCTCAGGGTGCGGAAGGACCCGAGGAACTGCGTGGTTCAACAGGCGGCTGGAACCTGACATTACCATGATGTCACCACTGTGCATAAACATGGCTGTGGGGGTCTCATCTCTTTGGAGGCCACCAAGCAGAAAGATGGCTGACTGTCCAAAGCTTCAAAAACAAAAAAAGCAGGCTTCTATTATTAACCGCACTTGAAAAAATTACGCTAACTGCACCCTTTCCTAATTTCAGTTAAAATCCTTCTCATCTGGCTTGTGTCTGAGTGACCAACACGTGATCTGCCACCTAAACCTACGGCAGCCCACAGATCTGCTGCAAAATAAAATCTAATGTAGTTAAATGAGATGATGTGGCAAATGGAGAACTCTGAACATTAACCTAGAATTTTTATTGACTCATCTTTTAAGATTTAAGCCTTCCAATAAAATTATTTGAATCCTTTACTATGTTATCATCCCTTTACTTGAAAGATAAGGCAACTAATAAAACATTTTTTGGCTGGGATAATGGCACAGTAGTGGGAAACCAGGAGAGCAAACTATTCAGGTTTTTGTCTTAGTCTGTCCTTCCCTCCTCTCTTCCAAAAAGGCCACTCCCTTTGCTGGAAGGCCTCTTGTGTGTCTGTTTTTTCCACCATTCCATAGGCATATGCCATTGTCTTAAGTTACTAAATTACAGTTACTATCATTTAGTCATTGCTTTTAAAGGACTAGGCGAATTTTACTTTATGATTCATGAAGATGTCCAAAAACAAGAGATTATAGAATCCAGCCATTTGAAATAGTTAACTGGTTTTATTTACTTTTGCTTAAAATGCTTTGGAAAAAAGAACTGAATTATAAAAAGTCCTCCCACCTCCTGGAACCGACCTACCTGAAGGACAGCAGGGGTTTGGAGTGATCTAGTTCAGACCTGTCCACGTGGATGCCCAGGGTGGAGTCCAAGCGGTAGTAGTTCAGGATGCCTGCCTCAGCCCGGAAATCCTGAAAGCCACAGGCAGCGGCCACTTGCTCTGAGAGGAAAGCCAGGTCAGAAGGGAAAGGTGTATAATGATCTGCTGAGTATTTCTTTGGTAAAAATAGGGAAAATAAGAAAAATAAACAATGATCTCAGGAGCACGGGAAACAGGCATAAGATCACCACTTTAAAATCATCAAACTACAAAGCAATGTGAACACTGTCATCATCAGATGTTAGCATTATCCATCCACCCATACGAATCATAAACCACTCAAAACACTCGCACCTGGAGCTTTATCTGGCAGGCGCTGTCCCACGCAGTGATAAACCAGACAAAGTAACACTGCACATGAGGCAATTACTACACTGCTCATAAACAGGATAGTTCTCTTAGGGTAAAAAGTAACTCAAGGGGCTGGTGCCGTGGCTCACTTGGTTAATCCTTGGCCTGCGGTGCCCGTATCCCACATGGGCACCGGATTCTGTCCCAGTTGCTCCTCTTCCAGTCCAGCTCTCTGCTGTGGCCCGGGAGGGCAGTGGAGGATGGCCCAAGTGCTTGGGCCCTGCACCCGCATGGGAGATTAGGAGGAATCACCTGGCTCCAGGTTGGCGCAGCGTGCCGGCCATAGTGGCCATTTGGGGGGTGAACCAACAGAAGGAAGACCTTTCTCTCTGTCTCTCTCTCTGTCTGTCTCTCTCTTACTGTCTACAACTCTACCTGTCAAATAAAAAACAACAACAACAAAAAAGGTAACTCAAAACTGTCATTGCCAAGAGGTACCTAAAGAAACATGACAAACACAGGATCCAAGATTCTGAAACAGAAAATGGCTACTTGATAAAAACAAAGGAAATCTGGGGGCCGGTGCTGTGGCGTAGTCGGTAAAGCTGCCGCCTACAGTGCTGGCATCACATATGGGCGCCGGTTCAAGTCTCGGCTGCTCCACTTCCGATCCAGCTCTCTGCTATGGCCTGGGAAAGCAACAGAAGATGGCCCAAGTCCTTAGGCTCCTGCACCCATGTGGGAGACCCAGAGGAAACTCCTGGCTCCTGGCTTTAGATCAGCTCAGTTCCTGCCGTTACAGCCATCTGGGAAGTGAACCAGTGGATGGAAGACTGACCTTTCTTTTTATGCCTCTGCCTCACTGTAACTCTGCCTTTCAAATAAAATAAATATTAAAAAAAGAAATCTGAATGAAGTATGGACTTAAGACAAAATTACCATACTAAGCTAGGCTGTCAGTAGAAGAGGGAACTGGCTATGAGATCTCTCTGCACTCTTTCTTCAACGTTTTCTAATAAAACTACCCCCCCCCCAAAACAAAACAAAACAAAACAAAACACAGAGCAGCAACTCAAACAATATGGTCTTTTTTTTTTTTTTTTTTTAAAGATTTACTTTTTGAGAGGCAGAGTTACAGAGAGAGGGAAAGACACAGAGAGAGGGAGATCTTCCATCTGCTAGTTCACTCTCCCAAATGGCTGTAATGGCCAAAGCTGGGCCTATCCAAAGTCAGGAGCTTCTTCTGGGTCTCCCATGCAGGTGCAGGGGCCCAAGGACTCAGGCCACCTCCCACTGCTTCCCAGGCCATTTTCAGGGAGCTGGACTGGAAGTGGAGCAGTCAGGACTCAAAATGGCACCCACATGGGATGCCGGCACTGCAGGCAGAGGCTTAACCTACTACGCCACAGTGCTGTTCCCAGCCAGTTTGGTTTTCTGCCTCTCTGAACAATATGGCTTAGTGCTAATTTCATCAGTCAGTCTGATGGGATGACATGCTCAAGACATCTGGATTGACTCCGAGTTACACTCGCCGTATATAATTCGCCGGAACAGCAAGTCAGCAGTGTGATGAAGACTCTGACCCCCAGCTTTCCAAGCAGATGAGCTGGAAGACTATTCTGGCAGCACAAGGACACTCTTCCCTTGTCTTATGCTCCACTGCTTCCCTTGCTAAATCAACTTCAGACCTGGTTAGAAAACCCACTGTCCCCCAGGCCGCCTCCGGTGTCCTGACGCATTCCAGCCGGAGCAGCAGAATCATGGCTCTGGACAGAAAAGTACTGCTTTTAGCTTCAGGCACATGGAAGACTTATATAAAAAGTCTTCAAACAACAGTCTAGTCTCTTCAGTGGGAACTTCTCCGTTTCTTCATTTTTTTCTTTTACTGAGCCTCAAGTAAGAGTTCCAGTATCTCAAAACTAAAATTGTAGTCAGAGAACTTTAAGGTTTCCCCTATCATTTTTTTTTAAAGATTTATATATTTATTTGAAAGTCAGAGTTACAGAGAGAGAAGGAGAGGCAGAGAGGCAGAGAGAGAGAGAGAGAGAGAGAGGGAGGGAGGGAGGAGAGGAGGGAGGGAGGGAGGGAGGGAGGGAGGGAGAGGGGTCTTCCATCCTTTGGTTCACTCCCCAACTGGGCACAATGGCCAGAGCTGAGCTGATCTGAAGCCAGGAGCCAGGAGCTTCCTCTGGGTCTCCCAAGTGGGTCAGGGGCCCATGGACTTAGGCCATCTTCCACTACTTTCCCAGGCCATAGCAGAGAGTTGGATTGGATGTGGAGCAGCTGGGTCTTGAACCAGCACCCATATGGGATGCTGGTATTGCAGGTGACGGCTTTACCCACTATGCCTCAGCACTGGACCTCCTCTATCATTTTTTAAAAAAATTCTTTACTTTTCTGAAAGATTTAACACAGAAGGAGAGACAGCAAGATCTTCCATCTGCTGGTTCACTCTCCAAATGGCCACAACAACCAGGGCTGGGCCAGACCCAAGCCAGGAGCCAGGAGCTTCTTCTGGGTCTCCTGTGAGTGACAGGGGGCCCAGAGACCTGGGCCATCTTCCGCTGCTTTCCCAGGTGCATTAGCAGGGAGCTGGATCAGAAGTAGAGCAGTCAGGACTTGAACCAGCATCCATATGGGATGCTGGCATATCAGGCAGTGGCTTAACCTGCTATACCACATCGCCAGCCCCTGCTCTATCATAATTTTAGTTCTTTAAGAAAAAATCAACCAGCTAGAGCTGCCATCTTACCCTCAGACAGCCTCTGCTATGATGAAATTATTTCCTTTTTAAGCTTTCAGCCCTATCTAAGCTGTCGCTACGCTACTCGTCTTATAAAAAGCTTTCACTTTTCTCTGATTGATTATGCATTCAGAATTCTGGATCGCTTTCATGCTCAATTTGTCTTAGTAAATTATATTACCTTTGAGGTCCTGGGAGTGACAACATCAACAATCAAAACATTAGCACTAAAAACAATAGCTAACAGTTACTGTGCTCTTGCTTAGAACAGCTAGTCCTGGGCTGTAATCTCTTTAGAGGCATTAACCACTTAACTCTCATAATAACCTTGTAATAGCAGGCACCAGCTTGCTTTACTGTCATCGTTATTGGAGGCAGAATTCAAACCCAACCTGCCTTGCCCAAACTAACTCACCAAGTCACTTCCCTGAATACAAATAACCAGATTCTCATTGAATCTATATTTCTGAAAATCAGAATTACATCACTAATATTTTTTTTTTTTTTTAAAGATTTATTTATTTACTTGAAAGTCAGAGTTGCACAGAGAGAGAGGAGAGGCAGAGAGAGAGTGAGTGAGCACTGTCTTCCATCCACTGGTTCACTCCCCAATTGACCGCAACAGCCGGAGCTTTGCTGATCCGAAGCCAGGAGCCAGGAGCTTCTTCCAGGTCTCCCATGCGGGTGCAGGGGCCCAAGGGCTTGGGCCATCTTCTACTGATTTTCCAGGCCATAGCACAGAGCTGGACTGGAAGAGGAGCAACCGGGACTAGAACCCAGTGCCCATATGGGATGCTGGCGCTTCAGGCCAGGGCATTAACCCACTATGCTACAGCGCTGGCCCCACATCACTAATATTTTTAAAGCAACATCTGTCATTAGCTGGAGCAGCTAATATATTTGTGTTTAAGTTGGTTGACTTAAGCTATAGATCTTTTAGAAAGTAACTGGTTAGGGGGCTGGCGCCATGGCACACTAGGTTAATCCTCCACCTGCAGTGCTGGCATCCCATACAGGCATTGGGTTTTAGTTTTGGTTCCTCCTCTTCCAGTCCAGCTCTCTGCTAATGGCCTGGGAAAGCAGTGGAGGATGGCCCAAGTGCTTGGACCCCTGCACCCGCATGGGAGACCAGGAGAAGCACCTGGCTCCTGGTTTTGGATCGGCATAGCTCCGGCCGTTGCAGCCATTTGGGGAGTGAACCAACGGAAGGAAGACCTTTCTCTCTGTCTCTCTCTCTCTCTCACTGTCTGTAACTCTACCTGTCAAATAAATAAATAAATAAATAAATAAATCTTAAAAAAAAAAAGGTAACTGGTTAGGAACACAGAAAATGATCTATATCAATGTGTTTTTATTCAGTTTACTCTTATAATCAGCCCTTCCACTTGGTGGCAAACATCTCACTGAGCCAATAGCTACTGACAAAGGAGGGATTGGAGATTCTCTGAAGCAGACAGAACAGGAAAGAAACTGTACCTCAAGAAAACAAGGAACTTGGTTAGTTGTAGGAAATCCTTTCTTACCGCTTTCCTGCCCAGATGTTATATAGCAGGTAGAGGTATCTAGATCTTGGAAGTGCTTTTGTGAGAAGAGAACATTAGAACTACACAACACTTCTTAAAAGAAAGTTATTTATTTGAAAGGCAGAGTGACAGCAAGAGTTCTTATATCCAATGGTTCACTCCCCAAATGGCCCCAAGTGCCAACTCTGGGACACATTAAAGGCAAAAATTCCATCCTGGTGGCAAGGGCCTAATATCTGGGCCATCCTCCGCAGTCTTCCCAGGCACATTAGCAGGAAGCTGGATCAGAAGCAGGATAGCTGGGACTCAAACTGGCTATTTTATAAAGGATGCCAGAATGACAAATAATGGCTTAACCCCCTGCACCACAATGCTGGCCCCGACATGGAGTTGCTGCTTTTTCTTTTCCTTTTTCATTTAATGGCAAAGAGAGAGAGAGAGAGAGAGAGAGAAAGAGAGAGATTGAGAGATTGAGTGAATGTGGTTCACTCCTTAAATGGATGCAGCAGCCAGGTCTGGGCCAGGCTGAAGCCAAGGGCTCCATCTAGGTCTCCCACTTGGGTAGCAGGGGCTCAAGCTCTTGGGCTATCATCTGTTGCCTTCTCAAACACATTAGCAAGAAGCTGGATTGGAAGTAGAGCAGCTGGGACTCAAACCAGCATTCCAACATGGGATGTTAGTGTTGCCTTAACCCACTGCACCACAATGTCTGCCTCCACAGAGCTTCTTTTTCTTCCTTTTTTTTTTTTTTAAATTTAATTATTTGAAAGGCAGAGTTACAGAGAGACAAAAGGCATGTGTTTGACAGAAAGAGAGATAGAGAGATTCCATCTAATGGTTCACTCCCCAAAAGACAACAGCTGGGTCTAGGCCAGGCCAAAGCCAGGAGCCAGGAGCTTCTTCCAGGGCTCCCTCATGGGTGGCAGGAGCTCTTCTGCTGCCTTTCCAAATGCAGCAGCAGGGAGCTGGATTGGAAGTGGAGCAGCTGGGATGCTGGAGCTGCAGGCAGTGGCTTAACCTGCTGTGCTGCAATGGCGGCCCCAGTAATCTTGTACTTCAAGGGTGGCCTGGAAGAAATCCAACTATGGCCCACCCAAGCATATAAACAGAAACCAAAGCAAAAAACAATGAAGACAATCTGAATACCTTACTGTCCCAGTTATAATGGTAGCCCAGGGTGACCCAGCGCAGCTTCTCCAGTAAACTCCGAGGTCTCCGTTTATTCACTCCTTTGCACCTGCAAAGATTGGCAACAAGAGGATTTATTCAGCTCAAATGGCAGCAACAGCCCTCTGGGTGGACCCTGCAGTCTACATTTAATATTCCATGGCATAAGCTGTTAGCCACAGTTTGGAGGGGAAACTGGAACAAGTCACTAAGAATACAAAAGAAAAAAACACATTACGGTTCTGATGTCCAGTTCTTGGTTCTAAATCCACTGCTGACTGGAATACATTTTAAATGACAAGTGTCCAGCACCTCAATAATGACAGCAATGTCCTTGCCTGTCTGTGGAAAATGGGGCTAAGAGCACTACGGGCACTGCAAACACAGCTAACAACACACATGGGTCACTAGTCAGTACTACGTCTCCACTGATGGTGGCTTCCCAGAATTGCACGTCAGGGGGAAAAAGTTTGGTGAAAATCTAATATACAATCAAACATACATGGTTTAACATGACTTCTCTCACCCTATGTAACATGGCTTACACAATTGAGGCCTACCTATCAATTAAGGCATCGTTGTAATTGACTTGGTTTCTGACATCCCCTGTTCAAACCCCAGCAGTTTTCTGTAAGAGAAGGCCTCTTCCTGCAGTTGTAACTTGTCTGCTCAAATCCACAAAACTGCTTTGTTCTAAAGAGAAAGCTTGTTTTGTTTATCTGTAAATATCTAAAAATATGACAGTGCTAGGCTTAATCATTTTAATCAATTCTTCTTCATATAATTTATATCATTAATCAAACAAAACATTTTTTGTTCCACACCACAGCTGTTTAAAAAACGCAAGTTCAGACTCCTTAAAGGAGTTTATATTCTATAGACTTATTTAGTTATTTGAAAGTTAAGAGTCAGAGAGAGAGGAAGAGGCACAGAGAGAGAGAGAGAGAGGGAGAGAGAATCTTCCATCCACTGGTTCACTCCCCAAATGACCACAACAGCTGACCTGGAGCCAGAAGCTCCCTCTAGATCTCCCATGTGAATGCAGGGGCCCAAGCATTTGGGCCACCTTCCAATGCCTTCCCAGGCACATTAGCAGGGAGCTGGATCAGAAGTGGAGCAGCTAGGTCTTGAACTGGCACCCATATGGGATCCTGGTGTTGCAGGTGGCAGAGGCTTTACCCACAACACCAGCCCCAAGAGTTTATATTCTAACAAGAGATGACATATGCAAGACTGGAAAGCTGAAGTGTAAGTGAGGGGAAAATTCAAGGCAGTATAACTTCTAGTGATACTATGCTAAACTGAATAGCAGAGACTTTGAGGTATACAAGCATTGAGAAAAAGGAAGGGCAAACTCAACTAATTAGTTAAGGCTGTGCGGCAGTGAGGTGGTATGGCACTGAAAAGTGGCCAGCATTTAAGCGGGTGATGATATATGACAGGCACTGCCCAGCATAAACTAAAGCTGAAGACTTATTAGAGGCTCCCATTCTAAGTGTCACTCACTGTGATGTCGGACCAAGAATGCACAGAACAAATGCTATCTGCCCTCACAAGGTTTACATTCTAAGGACATCGTGACTCAGATATACATCAAGACCAGCAGACAAAAGGAACGGGATGGACACAGATTTATTCAGGACAGGTGTGCAGAAAGAAACACAGGGCCTGGCTGCTATTCCTGCTTACAAAGACTCCCTGGGTGGGCATTTGGAACTTGGATTTTGGGAGAGTTCACACTATTCCCAGAATTAAGAGTGGCTCACAGTTCAAAAATATGTTTATGTTGAACACCTGCTTTCCTTTGAGTTTAGAATTTTACCAGAGTACCCACATGATCAGTTGCTACTAAAAACCTAGGCACTGAGGTTCTCTGGCAGATCTCTTGACAATCTTGTCACAACTCATTGCCGGGGCAACTAAGCACATCCTGGGAGTTCATTAGCAGAGGATCCCTGCAAACTCAGGCCTGATTTTCCCTGGATTTTAGCTGCACGCGCCTCTTCCCTTTGCTGATTTTTTTTTTTTTTTAAGATCTTTTTATCTGAAAGGCAGAGTTACAGAGAGAGAGAGAGAGAGAGAGAGAGAGAGAGGGAGAGGGAGAGATATCTTCCATCAGCTGGTTTACTCTCCAGTTAGCCAAAACAGTTGGAGCCAAGCCAGGCCAAAGCCAGGAGCTTCTTCCAGGTCTCCAATGTTAGTGCAGGGGCCCAAGCACTTGGGCCATCCTCTGCTGCCTTCCCAGGTGCATTAGCAGGGAGCTGGGTTGGCAATGAAGCAGCTGGGACTAGAACTGGCACCCATGGGATGCCAGCACTGCAGGGCCACAGCTCTGGCCCCTGCTGATGGCTTTTAAATGAAGCTTTCCTTTTTTATTTCAAAGGCAGGAAGGATGAGAAGGGGGGGGGGGGAGGGCGAACAAGAGAGCTAGAGAGCAAGCAGGCGAGCAAGAGCAGAAGAGACAGATCTGCTGGTTCATTCCTGCAATGTTCACAACAGTAGCAAGGGCTGGGCTAGGCTAGACTGAACCGTGAACTCAATCTAGATCTCCAACCTGGGTGGCAGGAACCCAACCACTTGAACCATCCTTGCTGACTCTTAAGGTACGCATCAGCAGGAAGCTGGAATCGGGAGAGCTGTTGTTGCGGAGTAACACTTTAAGTGGCTGTCTACAATGCTGGCATCCCATACGGGCATTAGTTTGAGTCCTGGCTGCTCCACTTTCAATCCAACTCCCTGCTAATGTGCCTTGGAAAGCAGCAGCAGATGGCCCAAATGCTTGGGCCCCCGCACCTATGTGTGAGACCCAGAGGAAGCTCCGGGCTGTTGCAGCCACCTGGGGAGTGAACAGGCGATTAGAAACCTCTCGCTCCGTAACTCCAACTTTCAAACAAACAAATCTTGAAAAAAAAAAAAAAAAAAAGAGGAAAAAGAGGCCAGTGCTGAGGCATAGCAGGGTAAAGCTGCTGCCTGCAGTGCCAGCATCCCGTATAGGCACTAATTCGTGTCCCGGCTGCTCCACTTCCAATCCAGCTCTCTGCTATGGCCTGGGAAAGCAGTGGAAAATGACCCAAGACCTTGGGCCCCTGCATCTGAGTAGGAGACCCAGATGAAGCTCCTGGCTTCAGATTGGTACAGCTCTAGCCGTGGTGGCCATCTGGGGAGTGAACTAGCAGATGGAAGACCTCCATCCCTCCCTCTCTCTCTCTCTCTGCCTCTCTAATAAATAAATAAATCCTAAAAACAACAACAACAACAAAAAAAAAACAAAAACAAACAAACAAAAAAACTGAATTGCAGATGCGAAGCTATCAAACAAAATGACATGACTACTACATTCTAGGCAGAGAACAGACTGAAGAGGGGTGAGAGCAGACATAGGGAATTTAGGCGGCTACGCAGTCGTTTAGATAAGAAATAATGGTGGATGGCTGGCGCCGTGGCTCAAAGGCTAATCCTCCGCCTTGTGGTGCCGGCACACTGGGTTCTAGTCCCAGTCGGGGTGCGGATTCTGTCCCCCTCAAACGCCTGTAACAGCCATAATTGGACCAAACCCAAGCCAGGAGCCAGGAAATTCATCGGGATCTCCCACATGGATGGCAGGGACCCAAGTAATGGGGCCATCATCCACTGCTTTACAAAGGGGCATTAGAAGGAATGTGGATGGGAAGTGGGGCAACAGGGACTTAAACTATGACTATCACGGAACGTGCTGGTGTCAGAGTGGCAGCTTCACCTGCTACACCGCAAAGGAGGTTCCAATTTTAGGTTTAGAATGGCCGCATGTTACTGTTGAGATATGCTAGGTTTGACTGATATGGCCTCCTGCTGACAAGACTTTCAGGCTGTTTCTCATTTTCTGTTATAAACAAAAACTGCTGCAATGAAGGGCTTGCACCTACTGTACTCTTACATGAGCACCTGTAGTTAGGAATGAAACAGAACTCAGGTGCCCTCATATTGGGATCAGTCCTATTTTCGCCTCTAAGTTCAAGTATTTCTTCATTTCCTTCTCAAAATTTCTTCTCTCTGATTGGAGAATTTTAGAATGTTAAGATTCAAAGGATCCTTAGAGGTCTTCTAGCTCAGAGGGTCTCAATGTGGGAAGACATTGTGGTATGTAATCAGAATTCCCCTGGAACCTTTATAAAAGACCCTTTTCCTTCGTTTTTCTTTATTTTTATTTTTGGCCATTTTATATGATTAATATGCTTGCAGATGTACCTGTATATTTTCCCTTTTATCTGTTCTTTTTTATTTTTATTTATTTGAAAGACAGAGTTAGAGAGAGAGGTAGAGCCACAAAAGAAAGGTGTTCCATCTGCTAGTTCACTCCCCAAATGACAGCAATGGCCAGAGCTGAGCTGATCCAAAGCCAGGAGCCAGGAGTTTCTTCCGGGTCTCCCACGTGGGTGCAGGGGCCCAAGGACTTGGGTCATCTTCTACTGGTTTCCCAGGCCATTAGCAGAGAGCTGGAATGGAAGTGGAGCAGCTGGGATTCAAATCAGTGCCGACATGGGATGCTGGCACTGCAGGCCAGGGCTTTAAGCTATTGCGCCACAGAGCCGGCCCCAACCCTCTTCCTTTGTAACAGACCCTGGGAAAGTTGGGAGAGCACCCTCCTAACGCCAGCATGGCTCACAGACTATGATTCCATCATCTTGGATGATTTATCCATTCTAACACCTCCACTTCCCACAGGAGACAACAGCAACACAGATCACAGTGACAGAATGAGAACTAGGGACCCAATTGATTTTCAATGCCGCCAGCACAGTGTCTGAGTATACCAATTTCATCCAACCCTTGACAACATAAGGTATGATTACCACGTTTTTATTTTTGCTAATTTATTGGATAAAAAATATATCTCACCATTGTTTACAGGATGATTTATTACAAAGATTCATCTGAGCTATCTCGGAAGACAGCCAGGATTTCTGCAAAGTCATATGTCAGAAGGGAAAAAATCAATTACTTGAAAACACAGGCTGGTTTATAACAATAAGCTCCTTAATTTCACTCAACCAAGATCTTCCTATTTTGTTCTCAGTTCTAAAAAGACATCACTAAAAGCTTAAGAGTGGTTTTTCTTCACTGTTCCTGCCTATACCATACCTACCATAAATACCAAGAAGGCTTTAAAAAGGAAAGTCACTGATTTTTAATTTTTTCCTTTTCAACTTAAAAAAATCTTCTACTGCCCACTGTCAGAACCAGCTTGCTAGTTTCTGAAGATTGTACCACTGGGACCACTGAAGACCAAACAGGACTCAAAGCTGGCAGAATGGTTTTAATAGGTATAATTCTAGGGCCCTCTCACATATTACCTTGTTTAATTCTCACACTATTCACTAAAGCAAGGACTGTTAGAAGGCACAGAAAGGTTAAGAAACTTGCTCAAGCTTACACAGCTAGTAAGTGGTAGAGTCAGGTCTGAACAGTTAATCTGACTCCAGAATTGGTGCTCTATGCCACTGAAAACTTTACAACCTAGACCTAACCTACCTCCCCGCTGCGTGTTTTTCCAATCCTACTCATGACCTTCAGGGTGCATTTTTCACAATCTCTTCTAACCTAGCCACCTAAGTAATCATCCCCATTATATCTTATAAACTCCATTTGTGCACCTGCCAAATTGTTTCTAATATGTTTATGTCTATGTCCTCAACTAAACGCCAAATTCCTTGAAGACAGAAACTGCTTCTTACCTGTCTTTGAACCTCTAATACTCATACACAGTGTCTGACAAACAGCAGCAACTCCAGAGAGCTGCTGAATAAGCACACGAAGGCACTGCACACGTCCTGTGCTCCCATCTCACAGAACTTCTGCCTTAAACACTAAATCTCTGGTCAAGATGCTTTCTCTACCAAACACAGCCTTTTCCGATTTTTGAGTGGCAAACTCCTAATCATGCCTAAAGATCAGTTCAAATGCACACAAACAAATAAAAAAAAATAATATAGGGGCCGGCGCTGTGGCATAGCGGGTAAAGCCGCCGCCTGCAGTGCTGGCAACTCATATGGGCGCTGGTTCGAGTCCTGGCTGCCCCACTTCCGATCCAGCTCTCTGCTATGACCTGGGAAAGCAGTACAAGATGGCCCAAGTCCTTGGGCCCCTGTACCGCGTGGGAGACCCGGAGAAAGCTCCTGGCTCCTGACTTTGGATCAGCGCAGCTCTGGCCATTTTAGACAATTGGGGAGGGGACTGGCAGATGGAAGATCTCTCTCTCTGCCTCTGCCTCTCTGTAACTCTGCCTTTTAAGTAAGTAAAGAAATCATTTTTAAAAAATACAGTCAATGAATAAATTATTTTTCTTGACACCTATACCCTGTGTGGAAGAATAACTTCCTCCTTTGTAAACTCACAATGCTTCCCTAAACCCATCATAACCCGTTCTGAACTCTGCTGTTATAATTTCAGTAGGTAGCTGAGTTCCTGCCATAAACTATGCACTACTGAGTGCAGAACTACCTGTTCATTTTTGTGTCTCCAATGCCTAGCAGCATGCCTGGTACAGAACTGACCCTCAATAAGCACTTGTGGAATAATGGAATGGATGTTGAAACACTGGGAGGTACAGATATTAACTTCATGTGTTATAATAACTTATCACAAAACAATGAGTAGCAATGATTTCCTCTTAGAAGAGGGAAGTAAACAATTTTCAATCTTGCTTTTCTATAGGCCACCAGAAGTCTTCAAAGGAAGTCATTTTAAAGTAGAAAAAGGAGCTAAGGCTGATGAAAACAGACTATCGATGATTAAAGAGGATGAACTCAGTATGTAAGTTATGATAAGCAAATCTTTAAAATGGATCTCCACTTGATATAAATGTCAAAGCATCTGTCCAAACGTTCCTGGGGAAAAGCTAATGTGCTGTATCGTGTGGAAACAATGAGGGGAAAATCAGAAGCCAGTGCTTCATCTGCACTGTTACAGAACAGTTAACTTAATGACTTGGGCTGACTCTCACTGAAAAGACTTACCTCAGAAACTCCTTGCTCTGCTCCCACAGATCCTGGGTCTCCTCGTTAGTCATGTGTTTGTCCAGGTTACACACATTAGGTTTCTGGGAGTATAACTTAAGGCACTGCTTCACCCAGTGCCACTGGTGACCCGGGAGGAAGGGGTTGGGGATAAAAATAAATCCTACATAAAAGATGGGCAGAGGAAAAGGAGAGGGGAGAATCCTCCAGTTATTCAGGTGATTTCTGACATCCTTATATCCTCTACTCTGCTGTTTACCCCCACATCCTTTTAGTCATACTTCACGTTCATGTAAAGTTAGTTTTCTTTCTTTTTATAAGATTTACTCATTTATTTGAAAGGCAGAGTTACAGAGAGGCAGAGGCAGAGAGAGAGAGAGAGAGAGAGAGAGAGAGAGAGAGAGAGAGAGAGAGAGGTCTTCCATCCTCTGGTTCACTCCCCAAATGGCCACAACAGCTGGAGCTGTGCCAATCCAAAGGCAGGAGCCAGAAGCTTCTTCCAGGTCTTGCATGCGGGTGTAGAGGCCCAAGAACCTGGGCCATCTTCCACTGCTTTCCCAGACCACAGCAGAGAGCTGGATCAGAAATGGAGGAGCTAAGACTTGAACCAGTGCCCATGTGGGATGCTGGCACTGCAGGCAGCAGCTTTACCCACTACACCACAGTGCTGCTACCCAGAAAGTAAAGTTTTGAAGAACATTGGACATTTACAACCATACAAATAAATCTAGCTTTCTGGGTCATTTTCAAGAGAAACAGACACTCAACAAAGTTAATTGTCTACTGTGTTACTTCAAAGAAAACTTCAGAAGTGGAAGTGCCCAAAGCCTACCCTCCTCTTTTCGTCCGGCACTGCCATCTGCAGTCAGCCGAGCCTTCTCTCCCTCCCTACTTCATTTAGCCCAGGCGCAGCAGGCTGACGTCTTCCTCGACTTTAACTAAAATACAGATCTGAAAGTCACCACCCAATGAACAGAGTGTTGCTCACTCTCCTACTTTGTGCTTCAGCTTCCAGTCTATTCTCCTATATGTGGCTTCACAATGTGCGGCTGGGACCTGCCAACTACATTTCTTCTTTGTCTACTGACTCCCTGCTCACTTGTGCTCACAGGGGGCACTAATGGAGGACTGCAGGAGAGAAGATGGCTTCATGTAGCTTTTTCACTCACTGGAACCTAATTCATTATGCTGTCTCCTCAAAAGTTTAAGACCTGGCTCTAATGACCTCTCTTCCATGCACCTAAAGTCAGTAATTCCAAGTGTTTGTTTCCCCACCAGTTGCAGAGTCACAGCTGCTTCCTGCAGTCGTTACCTTGCGGTATCTCAGTGCTTCCTTTTTTTTTTTTTTTTTTTTTTTGGACAGGCAGAGTTAGACAGTGAGAGAGACAGAGAGAAAGGTCTTCCTTCCGTTGGTTCGTACCCGAAATGGCCGCTAAGGCTGGCGCTGTGCCGATCTGAAGCCAAGAGCCAGGTGCTTCCTCCTGGTCTCCTGTCGCTCCCCGTCTTCATGGAGGAACGACACAGGACCCTGCGCTGTTCTTCTGTCTGCTCGGCCCTTCCCGGGTTTGCTGCTGGTTCTTCCCGGGTTGGCTACCGTCCCTTCCACCTCCGTGGAAGGGCGGTTCCCCCTGGCCACTTTCCCCACTTCTGCGGGGGAGCGGCACACCGCCAGCCGGCTCTCTCGGGGGCTGCACAGGTGTTCCTTCAGATAGATGTTCCCCTTAGATGTTCCTGGTGCATGTTGTCTCTCTCCTCCTTTATAGTCCTCTTCCGCCAATCCCAACTCTGCTACCCACACGCCGAGTACGCTGCTCTCCTCCAATCAGGAGTAGGTCCTACAGTTTATTGGTTGAACTGGAGGCAGCTGCATAGAAGCTGTTTCTCCCTTCTCAGCGCCATATTGTGGGAGAGCAGATGCATAGAATAAGTCTTAATTCCAGTAACTTAGTCTAGTCCGGGTTGCTCCCCACAGTCTCCCATGTGGGTGTAGGGCCCAAACACTTGGGCCATCTTCCACTGCCCTCCCGGGCCACAGCAGAGAGCTGGACTGGAAGAGGGGCAACCGGGACTAGAACCTGGTGCCCATATGGGATGCCGGTGCCGCAGGCAGAGGATTAGCCAAGTGAGCTATAGCGCCGGCCAGCGGGTACTATTTTAATACACATTTTACACACGAAGAAACTGAGTCCAAGAGAGACGAAGTAATTTGCCCAAGATGATAGGGTTGGTAGGTGGCAGAGCAAGGATATGAACCCAGATAGCTGGCACTAGAACTTCATAACTACTGGTCTTCACTACTACTTCTTCTTCTTTTTGTTTATTTATTTGAAAGTCAGAGTTACACAGAGAGAGAAGGAGAGGCGGAGAGGCGGAGAGGCGGGGAGAGAGAGAGAGAAAGAGAGAGGTGTCTTCCATCCGCTGGTTCACTCCCTAATTGGCTGCAATGCCTGGAGCTGTGCTGATCCGAAGCCAGGGCCAGGAGCTTCTTCTGGGTCTCCCATGCGGGTGCAGGGGCCCAAGGTTTTGGGCCATCTTCCACTGCTTTCCCAGGCCATGGCAGAGAGCTGGATCGGAAGTGGAACAGCCGGGTCTCGAACCAGCGCCCATATGGGATGCAGGCACTGTATGTGGTGGCTTTACCCACTACGCCACAGCGCCGACCCTGGTCTTCACTACTTCTTAACCCTTCTTATTCTTCTTCTCCTTTAGATTTATTTTACTGATCCGAAAGATAGAGTTAGAGAGAGAGGTAGAGACAGAGAGAGGTCTTCCATCCACTGGTTCACTCTACAAATGGCCCCCAACGGCCAGAGCTGAGCTGATCTGAAGCCAGGAGCTGAGAGCTTCATCCAGGTCTCCCACATGGGTGCAGGCGCCCAAGGACTTGGGACATCCTCTGCTGCTTTGCCAGTGCTGTAGGCGGGGGCGTTAACCCACTGCGCCACAGTGCGAGCCCCTCCGATCCTTCTTGTACATGACACCTTTTCAAATGTTGCTGTCATGTTCCTCTGAAAGTCCCTCTTCTCTGGACTAAGTTTCCTGACCTCCTCCTGCTCACTCTTCTAAAAACTGGTTTGATAAACTCATGCTCCTTCAGAATAAGTGAGATCCAAAAGTAAACATCGTCCTTCTGATCAGCCCAGAGTAAGAGGAGACTGTTATCTCCTTTTGGACGTTACATTCCTATTCAATCCAGCCTGCACTGATAGGGAGGACAGAACAAAACTGCAAAGGACATGAGGCACCAACCCACATGAAGAACTTAAGCAGGAAATCCTAGAAAATCTCATAAAGCAGGTACACTGGTTTGGAAAATACAAAAGTGAAAACTTCGTAGTCTGAACAGTTTTTTAAGAAGGCCCAAAGGGAAAGCAGCAGAAGATGGCCCAAGTCCTCGGGCCCCCACACCCGCGTGGGAGACTCGGAAGAAGCTCCTGGCTCCAGGCTTTGGATTGGTGCAGCTCTGGCCATTGTGGCTACCTGGTGAGTGAACCAGTAGATGGAAGACCTTTCTTTCTCTGCCTCTCCTTCTCTCTCTGTATAACTCTGACTTCCAAAGGAACAGAAAATCATGGCGTTGAAAACAGGCACTACAGATAAAAGTTAAAAGAGCAGCCTCCAAGGAACAAGTATGAAAAAGATCGTTGGTGAAACATGTTCTAAATTCACTCAAACTCATGGAGACTGGCGCTTTCACACATCAAAATCATCATTCAATTGTTTTCTTTGTGACTTTGCAGAACTAAAGTGCATGAGGCCTTTTAAGGAAGTAGTATAGCTGTTGTATCGTGTCATACTACTAACAAATATTTTAGTAGTTATACTATACTAAGGCTGTATTAGCCTTGGCCCTTTAATTAATGAAAACTAATACTTCTTTGATTTCTCCTTGCTTTTAACCCACATTTGAAATCACAAGTGTAGGCCGGTGCCGCAGCTCACTAGACTAATCCTCCACCTTGCGGCACCGGCACACTGGGTTCTAGTCCCGGTCGGGGTGCTGGATTCTGTCCCGGTTGCCCCTCTTCCAGGCCAGCTCTCTGCTGTGGCCAGTGAGTGCAGTGGAGGATGGCCCAAGTCCTTGGGCCCTGCACCCCATGGGAGACCAGGATAAGTACCTGGCTCCTGCCATGGGATCAGTGCGCTGCGTCGGCCGCGACGGCCATTTGGGGGGTGAACCAACGGCAAAGGAAGACCTTTCTCTCTCTCTCTCTCACTGTCCACTCTGCCTGTCAAAAAACCAACCAAACAAACAAAAAAGAAATCACAAGTGTAAAATTAACTTTGCGTCTCTTAGAAACAGATGACAGGTAAAATACTGGTCAAACAAAGCATTTTAGTATCTTTTAAATAGTTTATAATAATCTATAGTAGCCCTATGGGCCTAGAAAAAAGGTTAAGTAACATTCCCATTCTTCACTATTACCTTAATTTCTTTATCTGTAAAGTGAATTACACAAAGCAAAAATCAAACTTCACAACTAATGGGGCTGCACTGTGAAGCAGCAGGTTAAGCTGCTGCCTCAATACCAGCATCCCACATGAGCTCCTGTTCAAGTTCTGGCTGCTCCACTTCTGATCCAGCTTCCTGCTAATGTGCCTGCGAAAGCAGAGGAAGATGGCCCAAGTGTCTGGGCCCCTGCTACCCATTTGGGAGATCCTGATGGAGTTCCTGGCTCCTGGGTTTGGATTGTCCGAGCCCAGGTCATTGCAGCCAACTGTGGGGTGAGGGGTGGGGGAGAACCAGAGGATGGAAGGCATCCCTTTCATTACTACCTTTCAAGTAAACAAATTACTCTTTAAAAATAAATTAGCAAAGTCTATTGGGATTTTTTTATATCATTAACTATAACTCTCTTGTTAAAAGCTCAACCTTGATTAACAAGTTTGAAGTTATGGCATTTGTGAATGTAACCAGACTGAAAATTATGAATTATTCTATTACTTAAAGCAGTTCTTCTGCTTGAGTAAATGTTCAGAGTTGTGGCAGACAGCCCAGAGAGTCAAAGTCTTTTTTTTTTCTATTTGTTATGCCACTTCTTGCTATATAAGATAGTCAGTGCTGCCTCTGGTCTACTCTTTGGGAATGTTCTACTCTTTTAGGAATCAACTTCTTAGACAAGGCACAATTTATAATGGATTTGGGAACGGAACATTTATGTTCAGTTTTGTATACTTACTTGCTCACAGTCCCCCCCACCCCTAAAATTAGACAAATGACGAGGAATTCTGCTTCTCTGAGGTCCGCTGCACCTACCAGGATAGCCTTCAAGGCCATACGCTCGCCACTTGCTGACTGGCTGAAGTCCTGCTCTCCGTGCATCGTGCTCACTGACTGAGGACACGCTTAGCTGAGATCTGACGACCTAGTAAGAAGGAAAAAAAAGGTCAGAGGGCTGCTGCTATTTTGTAAGTCTACCCTGAGAACCTGAAACTTCCAAAGACAACACTGATACAGGACAAACCCAGCAGTCAAGTCTGGAATCCTAAGCTTAGCTCCATCACTTGATCTAGGACTTTAGATTAAAGTCACTTGTTAGAGCCTCAGTTTCCTAATCCATACACTATCAAACGCGAGAAAGTTATACAACATTAAGATTATTGGTAATGGGGCAGCAGGTCATGGCTCAAGTAGCTGGGTCTCTGCCACCCACATGTGAGACCAGGATTGAGTTCCAGGCTCCTGGCTTCAGCATGGTCCAGCCCCAGCTGTAATGGGCATTTAGGGAATGAACTAGTAGATGGACGATATCTCCCCGCCCCACCTCTGTGAGTATGTGTGCTTCTGCCTTTTAAATAAATGCAAATAAACTAAAATTTCAAAAATTAAAAACAAATTGGAGTAAGATTTTTTTAAAAAAAGTTTATTTGAAAGAGCCAGAATTGGAGAAAGAATCAGCTGGGCCAAGCTGATGAGCCAGAAACTCCACTTGGGCCATCATTTGTTGCCTTCCAGAGTGTGTCTTAGGAAGCTGGATTAGAAGTGGAGGTTGGGGGCAGGGGCTATAGTGCAGTGGGTCAGTCCTATATGAGGGCCAGTTTGAATCTTGGCTGCTCCACTTATGATCTAGCTCCCTGCTAATGTGCCTGGGGAAGCATTGTAGGATGGCCCAGTAATTGGGCTCCTGATACCCATGTGGGAGACCATGATGGAGTTTCAGGCTCCTAGCTTCAGCCTGGCCCAGCCCAGGCTATTGTGTCATTTGGGGAGTGAGCCAGTGGACAGATCTCTCTTTTGCTGTCTCTCCTCTCTAACTCTGCTTTTCAAATATATAAATAAATCTTTAAAAAAATAAGAAGAGGAAGCGGGACTTGAACCAAGGCACTTTGATATGTGATGTGGGTTTCCCAAAAAAGACTACCTTTTTCCAGGAAACCACACCTTTGTGACTTATGATAGAATTCTTAATTATGAAGGATGTTTGGTATATCAAATATCACAGGGCACAACACATTTTACTTGGTTAGAGCTAACAATACTGCTTTTGGAGGCACCTGGAGATGACTGCTGTTCAAGCAGAGCTATCAGGAACAATAGGCTAGGGAGGGTGAGAGAATGGAAAAAGAGCCATAACCAGAAAGAAAAATGTGCAATGAAATACGGGGAACTCTATCTACTAAGAGTACAACATTCACTATCTTTTAGGTGAAGCTTTTGTTAGTTACTTAAAATGAAAGTACTTCAGCATTTGATGAGTTTTCTTAGCACATTCCAGTATCTTCTGGATGTCTCATAATATTGGTTAAAAGACTCAACATGCAGTTATTTGAATAAGGAGATTAAGGAAAAAACAAAAACAACCGTTATTCTTCCATGAATAAACTTCAGATCTGGCTTATTTTAGAATACGCCAAATGCATTCTTCCAAAGAGAAATTTATCCTATCGCCTTCTCCAAGAGTGAAGGCTTCCAGACAAAATACCAGCATGTGGCTGGTGTATGACCAGGCTCTGCAATAAAATGGCAGTCTGGAACCCTCTGAGAGTCTTGCTCAGCGGAGTTTTCCAGGTACTGAGGGGCTGTTAAAATGTTTTGTGATAATTTCTTGAACAGGTCACACTGAATACTGTACTATAATTCAGCAACACCCTTAGAACTGAAGTACACTATTCAATCTATTTTATCACTGGCCAAACTGAACCAAACTACTAAGCTTTTCAAGTTTTTCTGTATCCTCCCTGGCCAGACTGTTGGCCATCACTGTCGCACTGCTTTGCTCAGCTGTCTTGGAACAGCAACTTCTCTAATTTGCTACTCCGAGCTGGGGAACTAAACTCCCAAGCTTTCATGTACTGGACACATACTTTACTTACTGAGCACCGACTGCTGTAGGTTCTGTGGCAGACACGCAATGAACAGCTGAGTGGCTAAACTCTAAAAGGATACACATACGAGTACTACAATAAAAATCCACGTAAAAGGAGCAGAATGAGGATCTGAGCGGTTCTCCTGAGTTAAATATATTATTCTTGGGATGCAGACTTTGTATTTTTGCAGCTCGGAAGGCCATTTTGGCTAGTGGAGTTGCTGAGAAGCTGAGATTACGAGTATCACAGCCTTCGAGTTTTATTGGATGCTATTAAGCTTGGGAAGAAAGCCTCACACAGACATTTGTGGACAAGAATGAGTGCACATTAACAGACTACACACACATCCTCCACGGTAAAGTGATCCCGAAGAAACAATACCTGTACTAAAGTTGTAGTCGACCCCCGCCCCCTCCTCCCTATTATGTTCTCCTTAGTTCTCAAGGAGAAAAACAGAAACAACCAACAACTTTTGGATTCTATTTATATTCGTTTGCCATTTATTTTCAATTTGGAGGGAATATTTAACTTTTATGACTTTTTCTAAAAGGCCAGGAAGCGGCAGGAATTAGTCTCCCGCACAGCATTTTAACGTCAGATCCCCCAGGGCTCGGGATTACTCCGTGGGGGGACATTCTATGGGGTTAAACGGAAGTATAAATGGAGGATTACGGAAAGGAATGAACCCAAATTCCCAGGCTTTTCTGGCCGCCGCTGGGAACGGCCGGCAGCACAACGCGAGAACGCCAAAGCGTGCTGGCCGGCGCCCAGGGAGGGCGGTGATCGCTTAAAAACAACCAGTCTGGAAGCGAAAAGAGGAGAGGACACGGAAGTCCCCTCGTGAAGTGACGCGAGGCGACCGGGAGGTGCGCGCCGCTCCTTTCTGCGTACCTTATGGGCAGCAGGACCCGTGTCGCGGGAGGTGTGGGTCGCCGAGAAGTCTATGACCCCTCCCAGGTCTGCGGTCCCCGGCCGAATTTGCCGGTAGAAGCGGAAAAGTTTCCGAAAGGCGTCTTCCCCAGGCTCTGTCGCCAGCGTCGCTACAGAGCCCAGGGCCGCCGCCATCTTCCCCATGTCGCCGCCGGGCCCTTTGACCCGGAAGCAGATGCCCATGCTCCGGATATCACTTGTTCTTCCGCGGTCGTGACCCCAGGTCGCTTAGGTCCTTCAAACTAAAGATGGCGGCCTCTGCAGTGAGGAGTGCCGTGGGACTGCGGGCGAGTATTAGTCGGCCAGTTGCTTTCGTCAGAAAAATCCCTTGGACCGCAGCATCGAGTGAGTGTTGACTATAGGGGAAGGGAGGAACTTTAGGTTTCAGGTGATCCTCAGGACCTCTGCGGACTTCTCTAGAGCACTAAAGTCAGCATGTGACTGGATTGCTCCTGAACAAGCTAATGAGCAGAAAGAAATTTTGCTTGCAATTAATTGTTAGCTTTCCGGAGCTTTGGGAGACACGCGCTCACGGTCTCCTGACTTCCGAAGTGATTTGATAGGAAGGTTTATTACTTGGTAACTTCCCTGCAGTCCGTGTGGACGACGGATCCTTGTTGGCAAGGTTGTAGGCCAGGAGATGAGCCAAAAGGAAATTTCAGTTCAAAGATGAAGATCTGAACCAGGTTCTCAAAGAAGGGGTGTGTGTGTGAGAGAGTCAGTCAGTCAGATCCCCTAGTGTTAGGGAAGCAAAGTGCACGGCGTTTCGTGGTGGCTTGAATGGGGATGGATGTGGGATGAAGGACAGGGAGGAATGAGTTCTGCGTTTAGCTTTGGCGCATTGCACAGAGAGAATTTAGGAGGAGCAGGCCCAGAGATGAAGATTAATGTTTCAATGTGTTGAGTTTGAGAAGCCTGTGAGATCTCCATCAGACCACAGGACAGAGATTAATTCAGCACATATTTAAGGAATATCTTTCATGTGTGGACATTGTTCTTGGGACTTGTAGCTGTTTCTCCTAAACAATTTTAGGTGGTTTGGGAAGGGCTCATGTCCTACCTGGTTTGTTTTAGAAGTGTTTTCCAGAACTTTTAAGTCCCTCCTAGGCCCTGGAAGAGAAATTTAGCCTCTGTGGATTGTTGAAGATTTCCTGACATTTATTTTTTCATTCAGCCAATATTGAGACCATACTGTGTATCAGAAACTGTAAAACACGGTTGTCTTTTAAAAATATTTATTTTTCATCCACCTGAAAGGCAAAGTGAGAGTGAGAGAGAGAGAGATCTTCTATTCCTGGTTTACTCCCCATGCACATAACAGCCAGGGCAAGTCCAGGCTGAAGCCAGGAGCCAGGAATTCCATCCGGGTCTCCCATGTGGGTGGCGTGGCAGAGGCCCAAGCACTTGAGCCATCATCTGCTGCCTGTCAGGATGCACTAACAGGAAGCTAGATTGGAAGTGAGGTGCCAGGACTTGAATTGGCGTGTGATATGGGATGTGTACATTCCAGCCATCAGCTTAATCAGTTGTGCTGTAATGCTACTCTCAGCATGGCGATTTCTGTATTCAGGGATATTACAGTGTTGTAGGGATAAGGAAATTTTTAAGCAACAAATATAGGCAGTCATTGAACCAATAAGGTTTTTATGAACTAGGATCCATAACCAGATAATATAAAATGTACATCAGCAAAATGTAAGCACTGTAAATCAGAAGAGGAAGAGGTCATGTAGTTTTTGATCTTTATGATTATACATCAATTCTTGGCTGTCTCACAAAGATAGTGCATTTTATTGTGTTACACAAGAACCCAGTAAAGTCATATTCATGTATTTGGCCTGAGTCTGGAAGGGTAGTTAGAATTCGGACAGGAAGAGATGGAAGTCACAGGACAGATACAGAGAATTTAGTTTCCTAAACTGGAAAAGCAGTGGTAAATATGGCAGGAAAGGCAGGTGGGATAAACCACACATTTTAGAGCTTTGAATATTTGATCTAGTGTAAACTTCAAATTATGAAAGATTAGTAAGGTCAGATTTTATTTTACATTCTCCGATATAGCTGGGAACATAGTGGATTGTATTTGTATTTGTCTTCCGTGCGATCTGCTCACAGGGATTATTATCTACACGCGTGGCACTTTACCTGGTGATAATGAAAACACTGAATATGTGCTGAGGATGCACTGTCCTGAGGACTGCAGTGGACTCAGCAGCAGTTCCTCTCTCCACGTTCCTGTCCTGTCACCAACTCTGGAATAAAGCTCTAAATTCAAAGCTGATTCTTAACTCTGAAGACTTTCAGGAAGTGTCCATAGGAAGTTTGAGATTCTAGATCTCCTTTTGGCTTCTAGCTGTAGTCTGGACTACAGAAGTTAAAATATGAGTCTACTAACTGTTTTTAATGTTATTTCTCCCTTGGTACAGGTGAGCTGAGAAAACACTTTGCACAATTTGGCCATATACGAAAGTGCACTGTACCTTTTGTGAGTATTATCTTTAAAAAAAGACTATTCATATTATCCTTTAATTCTCGATTTTTTAACCAAAACAAGCCAACTTATATCTAATGGAATGAAGCTGTTTAAAATATTGGTGAAATTATACGTGATACTGATTAAAAGATTAAAAGAAATTTTCATAGGTGTTAGTTTTGTTTTTTCTTTTAGGTTGCATTATAACCTACCTTTAGTGGATGCACATTTCTCCTCCCTCCTGAACCTCATCCCCTCCACACCCTCTTTTTTTTTTTTTTTGGCAGGCAGAGTGGATAGTGAGAGAGAGAGAGAGAGACAGAGAGAAAGGTCTTCCTTTGCCGTTGGTTCACCCTCCAATGGCCGCCGCAGCCAGCGTGCTGCGGCCGGCGCACCGCGCTGATCCGATGGCAGGAGCCAGGTACTTCTCCTGGTCTCCCATGGGGTGCAGGGGCCCAAGCACTTGGGCCATCCTCCACTGCACTCCCTGGCCACAGCAGAGAGCTGGCCTGGAAGAGGGGCAACCGGGACAGAATGCGGCACCCAGACCGGGACTAGAACCCCGTGTGCCGGCGCCGCAAGGCGGAGGATTAGCCTAGTGAGCCGCGGTGCCGGCACCACACCCTCTTTAAAGGTGCTTTTCCAACCCATTCTTTTTCTTTTAATTTTAATAGATTCAGTATGATTTGTAGAGACAGTTCTAAGAACATAATGATATTCTCCTTCCTTCCTCCCTTCCTCCTTCCTTCTACCTTTCTTTTTTTTTTTTTTTTAGTTTTTAAGATATTTTAAATTTATATTACAGTAAAAAGACAATATTTTGCCAAAGAAGTTTAACAAGTAAAAAGCAAAAAGATCTTAGTTTAGTGGGAATATAGACCATGACTATAACCAATAATTGAATGTATAAATGACCATTTTACCCATATATAGTTTTTTTTGTCAATTAGTCATTCATAGTTTCTTCCAATGAAATACAACTAATGATGTGTAACATCTAAATATTTCCTGTGTGGTTATAATAATTAAGATCATTTAGAGTTTAAGCCATTTCTCAACAGTTTATGCACAGGGATAATTTCATGCAGATTGCAATGTGATTAATTATACATTACTTTTTTTGTGCTCTTTTAGTTACCACAGATCAGGGAAAACACAATATTTGTCTTTTTGGGACTGGCTTATTTCAGTAAATGTAATGGTTTCCTGTTGCATCCATTTTGTTGCAGAAGACAGGATTTAATTCCTTTTTATGGCTGAGTAATATTCCATAGTGTATTTGTATCAAATTTTTCTTGATGTTGATGGGCCTCTGGGTTGATTCCATTTTTTAGCTATTGTGAATTGAGCTGCAGTAAACATGGGGGTGCGGATAACTCTTTCATATGCAGATTTCATTTTGGGTAAATTCCTAGGAGAGGGATGCCTGGGTCAAATGGTAGATCTGTTTTTTAGCTTTCTGAGGAGTTTCTATACTGTCTGCCACAATGACTGTACTAGTTTGCATTCCCACCAACAGTGGATTAGGCAGCCTTTTCCCCACAACCTTGCCAGCATTTATTGTTTTTTTGATGTCTATGTGAGAATCACTCTAACTGGGATGAGATGAAACCTCATTGTGGTTTTATTTGCATTTCCATGATGGCTTGTGATCTTGAGCATTTTTTCATGTGTCTGTTGGCCATTTGAATTTCCTTTTTTGAAAAATGCCTGTTCAAGTCCTTTGCCCATTTCTTAACTGGATTGTTTGTTTTGTTATTGTTGAGTTTCTTGAGCTCTTTATAGATTCTGGATATCGTTATTTGCAGAGTTTGCAGATATTTCCTCTCATTCTGTTGGTTGCATCTTGACTTAATTGATTCCTTTGCAGTGCAGAGGTTTCCTAGCTTGATGTAATCCCATTGGTCTATTTTTGCTTTGATTACTTGTGCTTCTGGGGTCTTTTCCAAGAAGTCTTTGCTATGCCAATGTCTTGCAGTTTCCTCAATGTTCTCCTCTAGTAACTTGATGGTATCAGGTCATAGATTTAGGTCCTTGAGCCATTTTTAGTTAATTTTTTGTATAGGGTGTAAGGTAGGGGTCTTGTTTCATAGTTTTACATGAGGAGATCCAATTTTCCCAGCACCATTTGTTAAGAGACTGTCTTTTCTCCAGGGACTGATTTTAGCTGCTTTGTCAGAGATTAGTTGTCTGTAGATATGTGGATTGATTTCTGGGGATTCTGTTCTGTTCCATTGGACTACGTATCTATTTTTGTGTCAGTACCAGGCTGTTTTGATTATAACTGCCCTGTAGTATGTCTTGAAATCTGGTGTTGTGATGCCTCCAGCGTTGTTTTTGTCGTTTAAGGTTGCTTTAGTTATTCAGAGTCTCTTGTGTTTCCATATGAATTTTAGCAGCATTTTTTCTAGATCTGAGAAGATGTTGTTGATATTTTTATTGAGATCATGTTGAATCTGCAAATTACTTTCTGTAGTATGGATATTGTGATGATGTTAATTCTTCCAATCTGCAAACATGAAAGATTTTTCCATTTTTTTTTTGTGCCTTCTATTTCTTTCTTTAATTTTTTTTTTTTTGACAGAGTGGACAGTGAGAGAGAGAGACAGAGAGAAAGGTCTTCCTTTTGCCTTTGGTTCACCCTCCAATGGCCACCGCGGCCGGTGTACTGCGGCCGGCGCACCGCGCTGATCCGATGGCAGGAGCCA